TTTTTTTTTAACTGAAGTTAAAAGGGCTAATAATTGCTTTTTCTGAATGGTGTTCCCGGCCTTTTCCATAAAGTTGTTCCCTGTTTAGCTTTGCTGGAAGGCAGGCAATTCCACATTTCCACTAACATTTTGAAAACGCGGCAATGCCATTGGCGAGAGAGAAAGTCTGATAAAATGTTTGAGTCTAATATTATAAACTCACACTCTATATAATATGATTGCTTGATTTCAGGCAATTCCACATGAATATTACAAAATAATATTATAAACTCACACTCTATATAAATCTATAGAATTAATTAAAGTTTGAGTTTAATGAAGCTATTCTCAAAATATAAAATGCCAACATCCGACTTATAAAGTTATATATTTGATTTGTGAGAAAAAAATTGAATGAGAGGGAAGAGGCAAAGGGATTTTTTTTAAAATTAATTAAATTATAACATTCACAACTAATGTAATTTGATTTATTAAAAAAATTCAATTTATTCTCTATTTTTTTTAAACTAAACATAACATTAAGATTCACCTACTTTATATAAAAGAAAATTAAAATCAAAATTAAAAAATAACAACATTTTAGGTATCTAATATTTCAAGTAGAAATATCAATAAATTAAATAATTTAATAATAGTTTCACATTTAAGTAAAGTAAGAGATTATAAGTTTGAGTTGTAGATATTTGAATATGGTGAGTAAAAATATAAAAAAATTACATTTTATTGTACTACTTAAAAATTACAAGTTATATATATGCCCTAAAAATAAAAAATTCTTGATTTAATTGTAACTTTATAAGCATAAGGGAGAGGTAAGAAAGGTTATTATGAGAATTTTTCTTTCATCGATTGAATAACTCAATTTTTTTCCTTTTGAAAAAAATTAAAACAAAAATCATTTTACTTTAAAATTCCTCAAATCAAAACCCTTTTATTTTAAATTCATTAACCTTACGTATATATGAGAAAAGTTCTCAATTTTTCTTGGTAAAAGATTTTACAGAAAAGAAAATTGTTGTCAAGTAAAAGATGGTCGTGGTTTACACAAGTACCGCAGTAGATTGAGAGTTGAGATCATCAAACAAGGAAGAAGCAAATTTGTAATTAACCTTTGTGGGTCGTGACTTGAAATCACGAAATGTTAAAGTGCGTTTAAGTTTTTGGAAGTTGCCAGGATAAGGTTCTGAAACCAGTCATAAAAGTTTTGGGACCTAAAAGCATATCACGCAATTTAAGCTTGGAAAGTTTCAGAACTATTAACAAAGTACTCTAACTTATTGATTTCAATACAAACAATAAAAGAGACAATGAGTAAAAATGTTTCGGAATATTTCAGAAGGAATCGGAACCTGGAACAAGAATCCATTATTGATGCAGTGTGCTTTTGAACTTTAAAAAAATATATATATATCAAATTGAAAAAAGTATTTTATAATTTTAAATTTTAAAACATTAATTTTTAAATAAAAAATTTTA